TAAAATTAATCTTGTTTACTACTCTCTCAATTCTGTCCAGGTTTTGTACAAAAAATGGCTTTAATTTGTTTGTCTTTTTTATAAATGTTTGTGGTTGAGCTGAACCAAGCGGAGAATAAACACTCTAAGAAGAAAAAAAGTCTTAATTCTGTTTTTTTACTTGAACAACAGCAGACATTTATAAAATATTTTTGCCAGTTGGCATTGTGTTTGATTTGCCTGCTGATTACTGATGTGTTCAAAAATACTTCAACATCTGTTTTTAACATCTAGAATTCAAACTACAAACTCATCAGAAGAAAGAAAATAAGAATTGGAAATGTCTTTATTCCTAGTTTAGTTTAACAAGTAGTTAGACATTAGGGGTGTAACAACACATCGATCTGAATTAATATATCAATTAAATGATTCAATGATATCAGGTCAAAATGAAAAAATTGATTCATCATCTCATGCCCGATGTAGATCAGTATCATATTCAATATAAACATCATATTCTCTTCTAACAGTCATTTATCATGAAATTAATTAAATTGAAGTTGTATTGTGACAGACTAGAGAAACATCATATCGTCATCCAAACGAATTGATATATCGTATCGTGATAAATCTGATGATTTAAAATGAGCATACTGTCATTCAAGAAGATTATAACAACTAATCTAAAGTGTAATAGTGGACTGTGGCCATGTTTTAAATATGAGGATGGTTCTAATTGCTTCATTAAAAACTGCATCAAAAAGACAAACTTTTAAAAAGTTGGGCTTGTTTAATGACGTTTTTTGTTTCACTCAGCTGGACCTGTGTCTGTTCATGCTGTCCTCTGACTCACCTCACAGGAGAGCTCTTAAAAACAGCCTAAGCAGCTTTGCCCTGCAGGTCTGTGTGAGTGTAAAGGTTAACATGCATCAGCAGCTCTGTACTCACGACACGAGAGCTGGAGGCCTTCTGCAGCTGGCTGGCCTGAGAAACACAGCGCGCCATGAATCACTGCACACACTGACAGAGCCCTGCTGGGGGTGTGGAGCATGCACGGTTAGCTTACAGAGCGAGTGGACGCCGCGACCTGCCCTCCATCCTGCGAGAAGCAGGTGGTCTTGGTCATGAACATCCCCACCTGCTGATTGGTTGGAGAATCGGGCATCTCCAGCTGCAGGTAGATGCGATACACCTGACCGAATGTCAGCACCTGTTTTAATAAAACATCACACGACACAATCCATATTTTCAGTTACAGGCTGAGTTATTTCTACCTTCTCCTGTCTGTCAACGCTCTCTGGTTTCATTTAAAAGAGTCGATCATCAGATATTGTCCAAGATTAACCTTCAGGGTGGATATAGCTCGCTAGCAGCCTCACACAGAGGACCTATCCACATCATCATTTACCCAGAATGCTTTGCATGTAAAAAATGGCCCCATCCGTGTAATTTTTTTAAACTTTTAGTTTAAGTATGATAAAAACTGAACATCCTACAGTATTTTTACAGTCTTTATTTTACAGTTAAAATATATATTTATCAAATAAATCTAATGTTACAACTAATCTTTAAAGAAAGACCTTTACATGAGTTAAATAAATCTAAAATAAAGTCAAAGTAGTGCACCTAATTCTTATTTTTTTATCATTATCTGTTGTTCAACCCTAAAACAAATTCAAATCAATAAATAAAAATCCCCAAATTAAGGATACAGATCTATGAAGGGTGTAAATTTGGTGTAAATGCTTCTTTAAATACCTACATGTTTCTTGTTTCTCAACAAAGAGACGTTGGCTACAGGGTAGGAGCACGGGAAAGAAGTTGGAGAGTCACAATCTGTCCTGCATGAAGGAAGAAATTAAATAAAGAGTGAGAAAAAGCAACAAAACAAGAAAGAAACAACAGAACTGCCATTCACACCTGTAGTAATAGTGCACAGGTGTAGAGAAGGTGGCCATGGGCATGTAGGAGTAGTAGAAGCTCCCGTACAAAAAAGCAGCGACACAAAGGAGCAGCAGCACGAAGGACAACACCGTGAACCCCTGCAGGAGTGTCTGACGTGCCCGTAGAACCGCCACAGCGACAACATCCTGGAGTTTCATCAGGGCGTGGCCAACGATGGCCGACGTCTCTCCAAAATCCTCCGCGGTCGGGTGGCTTTCCTGCTCCATTAAACCTAACATCCAGGGAAAAGCTAAAAGCACCAGAACATCCAGACAAACTGACTCCAGAGAAGAAAACTGGAAGGAGCCAAACAGCCATTAAGTTTCACAATAATTCAGATTAAAGAGGGATTCTCTGTGAGAGCTTCCTGGAAGAAAAACACAAAGCGTTGCACACAGACCCAGCATAAAACATGCAGGCAGCTGATGCAATAAAGTCAAAAACAATCAAAACATTCAAAAAAAAGGACTGGGGTCTACGAAAACCCACCGAGTCCAATCACAGTCACAAGGTTCAGGCCTTTTCTATGATTTGACTGTCCACAGAGAGGTCTGTCTGTCCCCAGGGGCAGAGAAATAACTCTGGTTTGACACGTTGTTGTGGGAACATTTAAAATATGTCAGCGATGGTTTAGTCCAGGGGGGATGAATTTCATCAATTAAAAACTTGGTCCAAGCAAACTGCCAATTTCAGTTAATACTTATTACTAAAGAAAAACCTGCATGACAAATATTGTTACAGAAATACAAATTACCTATTCCAAATTATATTTTATGCAGCATTTAGAACCGGACAGTAGGGATGTGGATACATTTTTAATCCTACACAAATATGAAATCTGACAGCGGATTTCAAAAGAACATTTCAAACCATACAAAATAACACCAAAATCATGTGATTATCTGAAGTATGAGGGAAGTTATTGATGTTTGTTTAATCAGCTCATGTTTTCTTGCTGCAGTTCACAGCAGAACCAATTTGTGACCGTTTCACCTTGTTGTTATCTATTTTTGCTCACTACTTCCTCAGTGTTCAAGATATCACCATGAAATTTTAGGAAAAGATTCACATTATGTTTTTTGTGGGAAGCATTTTGTATCTTAAAAAAACAATAAAACTTAACAATAGCCAATGCAAACATAGCAGAAAGGGTATAAAATAATGTTACAAGGCAAAATGCAGCATCAAATCAACTAAATGTGTCAGAAAGTAAGGAAATTAAAACTATTTAAAAACCATGTGGACATCTGTTTTGTAAACAAAGCTCCTCAACCAATGATGGCGTGTGAAATGTGTCAAGTGACGAAGACAAGCATCAAAACACTTTGCTAACAAGCACTATTCCGGATTAAAAAAAAAACATACTTCTACGTTTCAAATTATTATCAATTTTGGAACAAGGGCAGATAAAATAATGGCAGCTTATCTCTTTTAAGGGGCCACTAGAAAAACTCGGGTGATTTAGTTTGATCCTATTTTCAAAAAATTCTCTCCAAAACGCATCAACAAAAATTAAAAACTCGAAGACGAGGCTGTAGCTAATTTACCCGAGGTTTGTTGAAATTCATAGAAATAATGAAGCAGGAGGAAATAACAAGTAAATGCACCGAGCAGCCTGGCAAAATCAGGTCACAGCAGCAGCTGCTGACGAGACTTCAACATCCCTACAAATACACATCATCTTATGCCTTACTCTCTATCAACAACTTTTCCCCCCTTTTTCTAAAAGATACATTTTATCACAATCTGTTAAAAGAAAATCCTCACTAAAACATCCAATTCTTTGACGTTAAAATAAGAATATAATGCAAAAAAGATATTTAAAGTTGGTTCTCTGTTTCTGTTTCCACACCTTAATCAAAGATTTACTGGAAAAATTCAAACTTAATTTTCTTGGCTTTAAAGTTTTTCAACTCTCATGAGAAGAATGCACTAAATCCAGAGACAAATAGAAAACATAAACTAGATACCGCATAGTGGTGGAATAATGACCCCCGCACCCAGAAATGCACCAGAACTCAGGAGTCTTTATTCCTAATAAATGTCATGCAGGTGCATCCCAAAATTGTAGTAGTTTGGGTGGGTGTCTTTATTTTGGGGGATGGGGGGGTGTTGGATAGCCCCTCATCAGAGCTGAACAACAAAAGAAATCTGAAGCTCCTTTGTTTAACAGTTTCTGAGTTATAAGCATTTTTGCATGTCCAGACACCCCTTTTTCAGATAAATTGGGGGTCCGGGGGTTGGTGGGGGCATTGATTGGTGGGCCTGATGGACGGAGCTTCATCAGAGCTAAACAACAAAAGAAATCTGAAGCTCCTTTGTTGAACAGTTTCTGAGTTATAAGCATTTTTGCATATCCAGACCCCCCTTTTTCAGATAAATTGGGGGTCCGGGGGTGTGGGGCACTGATTGGTGGGCTTGATGGATAGAGCTTCATCAGAACTAAACAACAAAAGAAATCTGAAGCTCCTTTGTTGAACAGTTTCTGAGTTATAAGCGATTTCGCATGTCCTGACACCTCCACTTTGAAAGGAGCTCCCTCCTCAAATGTGGGGTCTATTGTAAAACCGTTGGCTGGCGCAGTGTAGGTCAGACTCATCTACAGTCCTGCCAAATTTCATGTTAATCGGTGCAGCCGTTTTTGTGCTACGGTTGACCAAAAATCACTGGGAAAAAAAGGTAGAAGAAAATAAAAAATAGTATGAAAACAATATGACTCCCGCTTACGGGGATCATAACTATTACATTTAAAGTTTTGCTTTGGAGCCAAATAAAACAGTAAAGGGGGCCAGATTCACGTGACTTAATCTCTTAAGTCTTATTTTATTTGTCACTGAAGTTGATTTCTAAGATCAACATAAACACTGATTGGACTAACAAAAACTTATTTATGCATTTTACATCAAAATCACACACAAAAAAAGGAAGATATTTGTTGAGTAAGCAGAACCGACATGCCTTCAGCTGTCATCTGTCCTGTTTTTAAAACTCACCTTTGCTTTCTGTTGGACAAAATGAGCTGATATGTTGTGAAATTCCTCCCTGGAGCGTCTCAGTCCGCTCTGGTCCTGCTGAAAAACAACCAGAAGACTCTTCAAGTATCTCCTCATCAGTGTGTCTAAATGTACCATTGGACGAGTGTTTTAGTTCAGCCCACGTGAGGAGGAAGGTCTTCTTCTAACTGGGCTGGAGTTCATAAACATGATGAAAACAAGAGTGACTTTCTGGATCAGTTTTTTTCTTGTTTGGTTATTCTGTTAGTAGTTTTTGGAGTTTAATATTAGTTTTTATTCCTTTTTGGTTGGTTCTTTCCACCTGCATGTCATTGTGCCGTCTGTTCATTGTCCCCTGTACTTTTCGGTTTCTGCCTCTGTCTTGCCACGCCCACTCACACCTGTCCCCAAACGTCTCATCAGCTCCATCAGTTTCACCTCACACATAAATATGACATGGTTTGTGCTCTTGTGTCATGTCTGCTTTGTCTCCAGTATCCTGTAAGTTTTTACTGCCATGCAGGCATCAGTCCCATCTGGGTTCAAAACTCCAGCAAACTGTGGCCCCTAACACACATGTGTCAAACTCAAGGCCCGTGTGTCAAATGTGGCCCGCCGCAGCATTGAATGTGGCCCGTGAGAGTGTCAAAAATGTTTTAATGTCTTAAAATAAGCTGCTTTAAAGCCAGCCTTGATCATGAACTACATGAGTGGGAGAGTTCAGATATCAAGACGGCAGCTACTCATCAAAATGAGTAACAGTGAGTAAAACTGTTATTTTTCTGTATTATTTCACATTTAATTAGTCATCCATGTAGTACTTTTCAGTTTTTATTAGAGAACATATTAAAACACTGTTTCTATGTGATAAATACTATGAAGAGCTCCGTTATTGTTTGTCAGCAGTGCTCACATAGCAATGAGACGAGGAACGTTAGGTTTCATGTTTAGTCAAAGTTAAACACGAAACCTAAAAATAATATAACGTTAATGTGGCCCTCAGTGAAAATTAGTTTGATACTCCAGCCTTAACAAAAAAAACTTTAGGAAAGCCATACTTATTAAAGGAAATCTTTTTGTGCTTGACATTTTTCTCCCACACTGAAAAAAATAAACTAATAAAGGGTTATTTGAGGCTGAAGGTTTTTATATGTTACAATAAGAAAATGTCCAGTTAAAGTTAATATCAATAGATCTTTTCTTTAATCTTTGTAATCCAGTATCAGCCAGAAGGAAAAGAAAAATAAATAATACAAATTTGTTTGTGCTGTTAACCTGCTTTGTGTCAAAACTACCCAGATAAACATTCCTCTGCATGTGAGCAAAATGAAATGAGCTGAAGTTCCAATAAAGCAGATCATTTTCAAACTCTTGTTGGAAAGACCTTTAAGAAAACGCCTGGTCATCTCACATGGTTAGTGTTTAGTAACACTCCCTCTGGACAGGGCTGTAAAAATGTTATGTTCCCAGAAAAGTTCATTTCAGCCTTTTAATTTGGGGAATTTTTCTTTCAAAGAAATTTTCAATTCTATAAGTTTTCTCATTCTGTGACGTGCAATGATACTTTGAGGTCTTTTCTTGGTTAAAAAAATTAAGAGGGTAATCGACAAAATTCTCTGGTTCTTCGGTGGATTTGCTCTGGTTTGGGTCACTGTGCTCTTTTTTGAAAGTCATAATTTTCAACATCATCTCCTCTTTTCATGGTTTGGTAACAAGAATTTGCAACACATTTCATTACAGTTAAGGGCCTTCGGTCCTCCAACATATTCACAAAGTTTAATCTAAAAGAGCTGAGCGTTTCAATAGCTTACCTGCTCTTTGTAACGCAACCATTCGTTTTCAACAGCTCGGTCAGGCATCGTCCTAAAAATCCGACACTAATTACAAACAAAATCAAATTCAGCAGAGCAACTTTTCACCAACAGGGGCAGTGTTCTGTAGCTGAGCAGAGATGCCCCGCCAAAATGTATTTAGGCGTAGAAGAAGAAGCTTTCGGCCAATGACACGCCGCCTTTCGCTCTAACCGGAAAAGGGCTTGTTTTTACATTTCGTTTGTTTGGAAAACAGCTGAAAGGTAAAGTTAATAATTTCCTCCAGTAGGGTCAAATCCTTTAACGATACTCATAATAATGCTTGAGTAGATGTTGACGCATGTTTATTTACGAGAAGTCGTAATGGTTCTTCCAGTGCATTGCAGTTATTCAGCTTGATATAGAAAAACATATACAGATGTTATTTACCTAAAAACTATGGTGCTAATTTCCATTTCAAGGGTTTGTTTTATTGTCGTGTTTTTAATTGATTTTGTCTTTTGAACTATTATAATATGTTTATTTTGTGTGCTGCACAAATAATTGCCGCCCAATAATATTAACTATAACTAGTCAGACAGTTAATCCCGGACAATTGGAAACTACAGTACTGCAGTTCCAAAGTAATGTACATGTTGTTAAATACTTTAAACTATATGGAGAAATGCAGAACTTATAGCAACAATATAACATGTTTAATAGAAAAGATTGTAGTTGCCAGGTTCTTTATCTAAAAGTTCTGATTTTGTCAGAAAACAGGTGAAAGACCACACATTTTAAAATCTTTCTAATGTTTAAAGCTACCAAAGCTGACTTTTGGTTTGAGTGCTCAAGCTTTTGAGTCTTCAACTTAAAATTAATTTGTAAATATATTTTTAAAACCTATTGTGTTTTATGTTAATTTGGGGGGGAAAGTATTCTTTTGCCCTGATTTTTCTCTTTTCCTAAAAGTACTGTGCTTAGTAAAAACAACAAAAAGCACACAAAAGTAATTTCTTCTTTCTGTCTAGTGGCCACAGGATGTCCTGTAACACCAGTGTAACTCACCTTGATGCATCTTCGCTGAAGCGGGCAGAACAAGTCCCGGTCCACCTACTGCCCTGTGAGATTGAGCACAACGGGGTTGCCCAGGTCTCACAGTATTTTACTGCTACCACAAAAGATCATAAACAAGGTACACAGATTTTTTTTATCCACTAGTAATGCTTCTCTACCAGAATGATCTAAAATGCCTCCAGCACCAAGCTGTAATTTATTTTTCTAATTGCAGAGAAGACGGTGTCCTTCAGAGGACGAGGGCTGAAGGGACAGGAGATCAGCTGTCCACAGGGCTACACTGGTCTGGTGCTGAAGGAGGTCAACAAGCACGGCTCTGACCAAGAGGTGAACAAAGTCCTCTGAGAATGAAAAAACTGCCCGTGCCTTCAGACATGAGGCACTGTACTGTGTTTTCGTGTTAATAAATAATATGTATGAACCTGCAGGACAGGACAGTGAGGATATCCTCTGTGTTTAACAAACTGACTTACTGGAACCTGGAAACTCCTCCAACCTCAGATGATGCTGTGGTGATGGCGATGGACTGGCCTGAAGTGGCTGAGGCAGTAAGTTATTTATAACTCTAACTTCAAAATGATGATAAAATCCAAAATAAAATAATTCTCCTTGTAATTCAATGTTTTATTAGATATTACTATAAATAAGAAACATATTTAGTGATTTAAATTTCATTTCATATGATTTCATTCATACATTCCAAAACACATGGACCATATCAGGTGAGACGCCTCCATTTAAATATGTAAAACAGATGTAAATACGTCCAGCATGTGTGATTCTCCTGCGCAATCAGAAATTATTTCTAGATGCATGGAAACTGGATTTGTGGAAACTTGTTTTGTCTGGTTCTCTGTGTGTTGGGCCCAGTTCAGCTGATTTGTTTACCATTTGAACCAGTTTGAAAGAAAAAAAATTAAAACATCTAGGAAGTGTGGTGGCACCATTTAGGTTTTCCTGTTTGGCTAACAGATACATTCAGAACTGAAAAACTAAATCTGACAGCAATATTTTTATTACAATTACAGAAAACATAAAGCTAATGGATAGAGTTGTAAACAATGTTTTATCTCTTCACAGATTCATGGATCAGTAGAAGACTGAAGAAAGTGACGCCGCAGACAGATCTCACCTTGGTTATAAAGATGTCAGAAATTCTAGACTTTTGTGCTGCTTTTGCAAATGAATGTGTAACTAATTGTTCATATTTTGATATGTTCTTTTGTAAATAAAAACAAAACACAGACAGACTGGGAAAAGTAACTTTATGAAAAAACAACAGCGTGTACAGTACATGGCATGTCCACAAGACTGTTTGTTCGCAAAGTCACGTTAAGTTCTGGACACACAACTACAAAAACCCTCTAAAGTCTAAATAATCACTTTGAGTATTCATTTTAAAACTCTTAAGCTTGTATGCTAATTTGAACACGTTTTACAGTCCAGAAAGTGTTTAAAAGTATGAAAACAGTGGAGAACATGAAATATTGAAGAGTCATTCAGGCACAGTTCAACTTCTGATTTGGACATTTGAAAAAGCAGAAAATGACACGAGTGTGTGCTTAAAAAAAGGTCATGGGGATTCAGTCAAATTAACACTCCAGGATTTGTAGAAAACCTGAATTTAGTCACTGAACATACTAACCTAACCAAAGTGAAAAAGGTGAACAGTTTCTGAATCAGCTGAACAGGAACAGCAATTTTTAACAGGTTTTTGTGTTGTTTTTTAGTCACCCAGGTGCAGCCTGAACATGTAACGTCTCCCTCATCTGATACTTTTCACTGAGAAAAGACAAAATGTGACAGGCAAAAACGACCCTATGGCACGTTAAACACTGTAAACCTAATAAATGAAGTTTTGCATCAAACAGATAAAAGTAAAAGCTAATAAAATGTCTGTCATATGTAAGTATTCAAAAATTGTATTTGTTGCCTGAATGAGCGGCTTTGTTGAATTTATCCTTTAGATTTTAAATGTAATTTGTTTGAATCTGATCTGGACTGTTGGTGCTGCTGCTTTCAGGCTCATTGTTCCCTTAAAATAAAGATTTTATTATCTCACCTTGTTAAAAATTGTCAAAATGGGAGATTTTTTTTCAGTGTTTTCGATTAGAAATTTTTGTATCGTCTATATAAAATAATAATGAAAGAAGTGTATTTTTTTCACTCTGCTGTTGTCTTTAATAATTTGTAATAAATAAGCAAAATCATAAGTCATATTTTGTTGCTAACGGTTACAACTCAACAATTCTATTACAAAAAAATCAATCCCCAAATATTTAATGATGTAGAAACTGCATTAGAGGCATTCAAATTCACAACAAAAACATTTTTAAAAATTTGTATTTTGACAGCTATTCTGGCTGTGTTAAATAAAATTAAAATAAGCAGTGCTGAATGAGTAAAACTGTTGGCACACAGACAGAACAGTAATATTTATCAAAAAGCTTTATAGTTCGAACATTCCTGTTTTCCTGACGCATCTCAGTAATCCAGGTAGAAAAAAATCAAAAAGAAAAAATAAGTAGGTCCTGTGGATGGGTTCTTTAGTGAAACATTTCGTCTCTCATCCAATACTTCTTCAGTCTGATGAGTTTCAGGTGAACTCAGCCTTATAATCACTGCCTCCACATGGACAAACAGGTTAGTCACATGCAAAAGAGGGCCATCCCCTAACAATAAGCTTGATTAGTTCTATTGCTCATAGAGGGTCATGTGCCCCATCACCAGACTTACTGGTTTGGATGCTTCGGCTGTGGTTCGTTGGTGTTTTGTTATGTGTATGTAGTGAGTGCAAGCGGGGTTCAACGTCCCCTTGTTTTTGTCCCTCTTTCCCTATTTGTGTTGGGTATTGTTGGGGCTCTGATTCACACCTTTTACTCACAGGGGGCTGAGTCATACTTGCAATGACAGCATTGTAGGAGGAGGACAACTGGACACGGAGGCCTCCACCTCTGTTTAATGGCGGACGGTTCTTCCTCACAGAAATGGCTTCCTTTACTCCTCTCTCAAACCAAMGTTCCTCTCTATCAAGGATGAGAACATCTTCATCCCTGAAAGAGTGACCGCTGGCCTGTTGATGAGTGTAAACTGCAGAGTCCTGACCCGATGAAGTAGCTCGTCTGTGCTGGCTCATTCTTTTGAACAGTGGCTGTTTTATTTCCCCAATGTATAACTGATCACAGTCCTCCTGACACTTAACAGCATATATTATATTACTCTGTTTTTGCCGGGGAACTGGATCTTTGGAGTGAACTAATCTTTGTCGTAATGTGTTTTGGGGTTTGAAAGCCACTGGGACATCGTGTTTAGAGAATAAACGTCTCAGTTTCTCTGAAACTCCCGCCACGTATGGAACAATGACTGGTTTGGATCTGGGTTTAGGGTCTTCATATTCAGCTGGTTGTTGACTCGAATCCTGTTTGGGTTTCTTGTCTGCTTTCAGAAAAGCCCAGTTAGGATAACCGCACTGCTCCAGGGCCTGTCTTGTGTGTGACTTCTTTTTCTCCCTAGCTGCTGTGTATGTGGGGACACTGTCAGCTCTGTGGTACAGAGTTCTGATGACTTGTGTTCCAGTGGGTGATGGGAATCAAAACGCAAATACTGGTCTGTATGGGTGGGTTTGTGATACATGTCAGTTTCTAACCGTCCTCCATCCGAAACTGAGACATCACAGTCTAGGAATGCCAAACTGCCATATTTTACATCCTTTCATGTGAACTTTATATATTTATCCACAGAGTTGATGTGGTCAGTGGAATGTTGGACTTCCTGGGATTTAATTTTAACCCAGGTATCATCAACATACCTGAACCAACGGCTCGGTGGTGTCCCTGTAAAGTGACACCATGTACAGGTTTGAAACAATAGGGGAAACTGTGGAGCCCATAGCACACCCATGTTTCTGCCTATAGTATTGCCCCCCACATGTGAAATAGGTTGAAGAGCAGTGCTTATAAGGCTGAGTTTCACCTGAAACTCATCAGACTGAAGAAGTCTCTTGGAGGAGAGACGAAACTTTTCACTAACGAAGGACTCATCCAGAGGACCTACTTATTTTTTCTTTTTGATTACTGTTTTCCCTTTTATGCGTTTAAATGCCAGTTATTTTACCAACACGTTTTAATACAGCTAAATTATCATACAATTTGATATGTCCACTGTAGGAATAAGTATTAATGACAAATGTGTTTAAAATTAAAAATCTAAAATGTCAAAAGTCAATTAAATGTTAGAAAATTGCAGCATGGTGCAGTTAGCCTTCCAGGCAAATTAGGTGATTAATGAAATACGACTTTTCTGCTGCTGGTGTTTATCTTTTTCTGTGTTTTTGTTATAATGAGGCTTAATTGTTCTTTTTGTTAATGAGTGTCTGCAATAGTAAAAGCACAGAACAGGAAGATTTAATCAAAAATTGACTTGTTTAGTTGCAGACTAATGGTCATCTGAACAATAATATTTTGTTAAAACTGAGGCCTCTTGGAATCGGATAATTTCATATTTGTAGATTAAATAAATAGTAAAGCCTTTGCTATGTATTAGATTAAAGTGATTATATACATGTTGATTGAACAGATGTGTGTGTGTTCTGGATGCTAGCTGAGAGGAGGAGGTGGTGGTTGTGGTGGTAGGGAGGGCTCGGGGTCGGCCTTGCTGCGTTTGGCTGGCAGACTCTGATCGTGAGCTTTTCGAATGTGTCTGTAAAGGTCGCCCGACTGCGTGTAGCTCCGGTAGCAGTAGCGACACTCGTAAGGACGCTCGCGCGTGTGCACGATGGCGTGGCGCCTCAGCGTGTACGTGCAGGAAAACGTCTTCCCGCAGACGCCGCACGTCGGCACGTCCTCCACGAAGTTGCCCATCGAGTCCTGGAGCTCCTGGAAGTAGGCCGGAGGGTCTGAATGCTGCCGAGACGAGGACGGAGGGAGGAGGGAGGCGGTGAAGGAGGAAGTGTCCTGCGAGGAGGGTCCGGCGCCAGAGGAAGAGGAGGGGGAAAGGGGGAAGGTGAAGTCGTTGGAATGGGAGGCGATTTGTAAGAGGCTCTGTGAATGAGAAGAGAGAAACTGAGGGCTGTTCAGCTCTTCTTCCTCCTCAAACTCATCCTCCACATCCATTTCTGATTCCTTGACTTCTTCTCTCTCCTCTTCCAGCTCTTCATCAGAAATAACAATGGCCTCCTCTTTAACTTTCACATCCTGGTCTGTCCTTATATCCTCAACAGGTTGAGCTCTTTTGCCTGTGGTGGGTGAAGCATTGGTGTCATCCTCTGACCCCTGAAGTGTTAGAACCTGAGCGGTATGTTGAAAGAACAGACTCTGGCGCTGGAGTGATACGGCGCTCTGAATTCTGATTTGGGGAGGTGGATGTTGAAAAGCTGCGTGTCTTGTGTTCGTCTGGAAGTTCGATGTTGGAGCCGCTGTTTGGACTGATACGGCCATCTGCTGTTCTCTGCTAAACGTGGCTCTGTGCTCGGTGTCTGACAGACCCTCGGGAGAATTGTCACGAGGCAGCTGGGGTTCATTCAGATGTGCGCTGGCGGGGAGGTGAGATTCTGACTGGCTAGGAGCGGACATGGAGCGACCACCAGCCTGGCTCACTGGGACCAGAGAGGATGACGATGAGGAAGAGGGCTGCTGGCTACTGGTGGAAGAGACAAAAAGTTAAAAACAGCCTTTCAATAACAAGAAGAAGAATCAAACAGTAAAAGCTTCAAATAGAAATAATTACGGTCTAATCTAAATATTAGCAACTATTTCTCTACAAAGGACAACACCAAGAAATCAAACTTTTTAAATAAATGTTTTTATAAAGATAACAAATTTCAAGAAGTATTTCACACCACTGACATGCACAGTTGTTGAGATATTTGCACAGGTAGTAACAGGAAGTGATGTCATAGGATGATGATGTCTGAATGTGAACAGAGAATCGCTACAACACAGACTGTAGAAAATAACCTGATGTTTATTTAGATTATTTTGAGTTATTATCAAAGAGAGATGAGGGGTCAAAATTCAAATGAGATTATTTCAACAAACAAAGACCAGGGAGTTCCTTTTCTTAAAGACTTTGATGTCACTTCCTGTTTCACTTTGGCTGAGCCAAGTTCAAAAGAAAATACGTCAGATTTGTGACAAAATGGGTAAAATCGTGCATTATGCCAATGTTTCTTAAACATAAAGGTATTTTCTTTGACATTTTGAATTTGAAATGTACAAATGTCACACACACACGTATATGTATGTATATACAGTATACACACACACACACACACAC